AAACAATAGAGGGTCAGTGGGGGGCAGGCGGCAGCTGTGGCTCTGGCCCCACACCAGGGTCAGGGCCAGGGCTGCAGTAGCTACCTGCCACCCCCGTGTTGCCTTGCACTCCATTCCAAGATGAGGGGTTCGCCCATATGATACATGGGAAGAGCCTCCTCTTGAAATCAAATAAATATGCTAAATTAGCAGATTAGATAAACAATGCTTTACAGATATGTAGAAACATTTGGGTAACAAATTTTTGCCTCCAAAGTGTGGAAATGTATCATTTGCAGGTAAAGCACTAAAAATGTACAGTGCAAAAGGAAAAAACATTTTTAGTTCCAATTCATTCTCAGTTCACTAAAAGAAAATAAACTAACCTGCAAGTGAAAGCGTATTAACATCAGTGAATGAATGTTATATCTGGATACTGAAACAAGCTACTATTAAATCACTAACATACTTAACTACATCAGTCACTGCTATATCAGTTTTGTAGCAGAGCAAAATTAATTTACCAAACATTCCACAGCAATTATCCCACAATCATACGCATTTCACTGCTCAAAAACAGATTAAGAACAGTCAAGAGTACCCAAGTGAGTAGCTATCTATACTCAGAAGAGTCACAGACCCATTTATCAATGTAGAAAATCAAAAATTAGTGTGCTAATATTAGAAAATTATAAGCAGGTGCCAACCTTCCAAAGATTGATCTCCAGGCAGTCAGATACTAAATGCTCTTGTAGATGTAATACTATTTTAGAAAAGAACACTTCTCTATTCTCCATTTCCTTAGGTCATGGCAATTAATATTTATTTACAGATATAATGCATAATAAGTTTTATATTTTCCTTTACAGACCAAATCTGTCTATCTTTGTATGCAAGCCTAAATTATTGCTTCAGCATCAGAGTTCTTTAAAATTTTAGTTTCCATTTGGGAATTGGATCCAGACATTTGGAACAGATGAATTCACACTTTTTGTTCTTTGTACTTAATTCAGATCAATGCAGCTTCTGCAAGTTCTATCCAATTAAAAAATGACATCCATTTATCCTCACTTAATTTTATTTGGTCTAGTCTGCCCCTTCTAAGTTAACATCAAAGCCACCAACTTTAAAACCTAGGACACAGTGCTGGATGCTCTACAGACTCCCATAAGTATTTTACAATAAAGTACCATAAGTACCATAAGTATTTTACAATACATTCAGTTAACTTCCTTAGAAAAGTGCTGTGAGCAAGCTAATTAGCACTGCCAAGACGTTGACCTCCAAGTTGTTGAGCACAATGCCATGAGAACATCACCATATTGCTTCCTGATCAGGAGACAGCTCGTGGCCTCATCCCAAACCAGACACATTCACATAGCCAGATTCACTGGGTGCCAGGCAACAGCATGCTATGTCCTCTAAGCAGAGAGAGAAGGGCATTTGTTAGTATTGTCGAAACAGTCACAGGGAAGGTAGGGAGAAGGTCAGCCAATTCAGAACTAATGCTCTAAATGAGGACAAAAGGCAGGAACTTCAGGGACACTACTACACAATTCTACAATTTGGTGTCCCACAACATTGGGATGTTTTAGCTGCAGATTTCATTTTACTCACTACCAGTGATACCAGTCATGGAATCTGTTACAGGAGGAACTGAGACATTGTTTTCCTTATTGTCTATCCCTATTAGATTTAAACACTCTCTCTATTAATACTTTCAGTATTGCCAGCCTTGTTGGACCAGAAGATACAAAATAAGTTATGGCCATCTGACACCTTTAAAATTTCTAGCTGTATGCATTTGAAACTCACATTGTATCAACTCACATTGAGAATGTTGTATCCTTTTGTCTACAGACAGACAACACAGAAATGAGGCAAATTGTTTCTGTTCACCTCAGTGATAAGTTAACTCTGAATTTTAACTTTGGCAGCATCTGTGCTGACATTTTTCAGAAAGCATACAGCTGTTACAGGCTCCATCAGCAGTAGTGAGATTTTTTTTTTTTTTTTTTTTTTACTGCTTTGTCTGTATATATGCCACCAGGTCCAGGTGACAGGATAATTAATTATGCCTCAAGTACCCAGTTAAGCCACAAGTTGGCAAAAGACAGGAAACCGGGAAAGATCTCTACCACCCCCAACACCACACAAAATCTGAACAGACTGAAACCTGACAAATGTGTCAGTTGCTGATTTGTGGTGGTTGACCATCAAGAATTATCAGAGGAACCTAATCAAATTGCAGGTTCATGATTTTCGTGGAAACCGCAAAAAATGGCAGTTTTTAAGAACACTCCGAAATGTGGTGGTTTCCACAATTTTGCATGGAATTGCCAGGGGGGAAAAAAGGTCACTAAAAATATAATGCTGGCTCCTTAGTAGGAGCTAGAGGCCACTGTAGCTCAGTCTCACAGCCAGCTGGGGAAGGAGGAAAGCTTACGACACAAAATGGAGCAGCTGAGATGGCAGCCGTTCCCTCTGCTGCTGATTGGCCGAGAGTGTTGCCTTTAGTGCGGCTCCACCCCGCCCTGCCAACCAAAAGCAGCCCTCTCAGCGGCAAAAGGAGGGGCTGTCATGACCCCTCAGCCAATCAGTTGTAAGGGGTCTTGCCAGAAGAAGACCATGAAAATGGTGCCAGGCACTGGGAGCAGGCAGCAATTTTTCCTTTGCCTGGTGCAATTTAAATAGACCCCTAATTATCAAGGAAGCCCAAATTCTTACCTCTTTTAGCAGTGCTACATCCATACAGACTGCAAACCAATCTACTTTTATCTTTAGGAGTGCTCTCTGGCACTGTACTTTTATAATAAACACTATTAATTATTAATAACTAAAAATGTGGGC